GGGTGATGGGGGTCAATGCCTGAGGGGCAGGCTGGGCTGAGGGACACTCCCCCCACACACACACACAGTGCATGAATTTCGTGCACCAGGCCCCTAGTCTATATATATAAAGGCCCAGCAACTGGAACAACGGAACGACCAGAGTGACCAGAACAACTGGTGGCTATGATGCGCACTGTGGCAGTCAACCAGCCTGATCTGAGCCCCAATCCCCCCCATTCCCACCTGTCTGGCCCCCGATCGGCCCCTAACACCCCGATCAGGGGCGGGGTCAGCTGGCCAACCACCCGCAGCCCTCCCCCCCACCACCACCACCGGCCCGGCCCTATGGGCCCCCATCAGGACGGGCCTGCCAGGCCCAACCCATGCACGAATTTGTGCACCAGGCCTCTAGTTCTATATAAAAAAAAAGCCTAATATGCAAATAGACCGAATGGTGGAATGACTGGTAGCTATGACCCGCACTGACCACCAGGGGGCAGTTGCTCCATGCAGGAGCTGCCCGCAGGCCCTAGGCCAGCCAGGGCGGGTGCCAGTGGGGGCCCCTCGATCACCCCACTAGTCACCCCATAGATGGGCCCTGATTGCAAGCCAGGCCTAGGGACCCTAACCATGCACAAATTTCATGCACTGGGCCTCTAGTCATATATAACTATTTACAAACATATAAAATAGTTCTAAAAAGACTCCATATAATGGATGCTATGGGTTGCCTCTTCTAGGGAGGACAAGTGAATGGCCTGGGACAAAAGTGAGAGGGAGATCCTTTTACTGCACACCATTTTGCGTCTTCTGAGTTTTGAACTATTTAAATGAATTATCTATTCAAAACAGGGAGAAATATTTATACACTGTAACAAGTAAAAATATCTTCTTAAAATATTTAACTTATTACATATAATACTGTGACTAAAAACTAAAATTGGGATGCATTTCATCTTCCTCCCACTTCTAGTTTGCCTTCTTTGTGTTGACCGAAAAACAGAACAAACTATGTATTTGACCCTTTTTTAGGTGCAGCTCAGTACCTGCTTAATGAGCCCCCAGATCCACTTCTCTTGTCTTTGTTTTAAAACTCCAACCAGAAGGCTTGGAAGAAGTATTTTTTAAATTCTCGTATCACTCAAATATGCCTGACACTTTATGTCTTTAAAAGTTTATGTATGTGTGGTATAGAAAGAAGTGATTGGAAAACAATTTTAGTGACTTTCAATTTTAATGAATTAGGGGGAAATGACCATAAGGCTGGAAGTCTGATGAAAGTCTTATTTTCTATTTCAGATATTAAGCACCGCCGAATACCAATCTTATTCTTTGCAAACAAAATGGACCTTAGAGATGCAGTGACATCTGTAAAGGTGTCTCAGTTGCTGTGCTTAGAGAACATCAAAGATAAGCCATGGCACATTTGGTAAAGTTGTAGATTTATTTTTCATTTTGTCATTTTGAAAAAATCTCCAAACTTCGGGGTTTCTTTTCCAAACTCATTTTATAAGTGATCTAACTTGGTAGGATGTAAGCTAAGGATTTTGTTTTATAGAATGTGGTGTTGCAGGTATTTATGAACCTATTACTATTAAAATCTTTCACATCTTTTGGGGGATAGAAAAATATAAGTAACTCTTTACAAGAATAAACAGCCTACTCACTCACCAACTTCAGCCATGCTGATCTCTTCTATACACTGAATTAGCCAGCTACAATTGCATCTCAAGGCATTTCCACTTGTTACTCCCTTTGTGTAAATCATTCTGCAAAATAATGTTTTTGGCTTGCTACTGCAGTCCCTTCGGGAGAGGGACCTCCCCTCATAATTGTCTAAAATATCACTCTGCCTTACCCTGCCTCGCTTTTTCCTTATTAATTTGCTTTTTCTGTTGCCATGTGACCTCTTTTTCTTGTTTTCTGTTTTACAGCCTGTCTTCTTACACTAGTGCATTAACACCATGAGACTGGGGTTTTATTTTCACTCTGCAACCTCTGAAATAGTAGTACATGGTACTTAGTAGGTTCGCGATAAATATTGTTTATATGAATAAATATAAATGGAAATACTAACCTTGTTTGAACATACTAATAAGGTTGAAATCATAAATAGTATCTGAACTTATTTTACATTGTTTATTAGATAGTATTTTTTAATGCCTGCTACTGTCATTAAGCTCCCTCTATCCACCACCTACCTCCTCACCACTGCAAGATTCCCTTCTCGCTTTTTATAAGATAGTATCTATGGAAAAGGCTGCACACAGAGGTGGAGAAATCCACTGCCTTCAGAAGAAGAAACAGAATATGAAGTGAAGAGTTAGTAGAGCTCAGAGAAGAACGTAAAGAGCTAACCTACGTGCTGAAAGAGTAATAGTATACAAGAGAGCTGAGAAAACCCTTGAAGCTCCTCAGTATTCACGACCTCTACCCAGGAGTGAAACACTGCATATCTCAGTTAAACCCTCCTTACTCCAGAATCGGAAGGAAGTTAGTGTGTCCTAAATGCTTCTTCACTTGGGATTTGAGGTTCTGTGGTATTTTGTTGATAAAGAGAGGAGGGATTTGGGGATAGAGAAATACCATAAGATGTAACCTTTGTGTTTCTCTATATCATTTAGGTAAATCATATCTAAATTGATAATATCTAAAGTAGAATAAATTTTCATTTCTCCATTGTATTAAGTATTGTGAGTGCTTTGATGGAAAGCATAACTTTCAAAAACATGGGTGTAATTAGTAAAAGATGCAGTCCTTTTTTAAAAAATATATATTTTATTTTTTACAGAGAGAAAAGAGAGTTAGAAACATCGATCAGAGAGAAACATCGATCAGCTGCCTCCTGCACACCCCCTACTGGGGATGTGCCCACAACCAAGGTACATGCCCTTGACCAGAATCGAACCTGGGACCCTTGAATCCGCAGGCTGATGCTCTATCCACTGAGCCAAACTGGTTAGGTCAAAGATGCAGTCCTTTTAATTTTGAAGTAGAAGTTAATTTTGCAAGTGGAAAAATCTCTACTTAAAATAATTAGTCCTTGAAATTTAAAAAATTTATTCTGTTGTGACATCTAAATATTTTTCACTGAGATACTAAGTAATATCCTGATGCTATAAAGATGTGGAATATTATATTTCCAGTTGCTATGTTTTCTGTATAATTTATAGGAGAATGCCAAGTATTTCTTTAAATTTGCCTGTAATTTTGACTTCTTAATTCAAACTGGACATTTCACTACGTTTTCATTACTGCTTCATTTGTTTTACGTTTTTTTATGTTTTTGCAATATTTTTTAAACCATGTATAAAATTGAAAATACATTTATCCTTCTTTTACAATTTTAGAGATAAAGGTAATGTACAGTGATTTAGAGATAAAATATTGCATCTCGCCTTCAGTACAAGTAAATTTACTGGCAGTAAAAGTTTATAGAGATGTATAGTCAACTCTGATTTTCAGGATCTGATTGCAGTATTGTTCTTCCTGTGTGTTCTTTGACTCAGTCCCTGCTGTGATATGTGTATAGTTTTGCTTATTTACTACCTTGTAAGAGAGACAGATAGTAAAAGAGGTAAATAAATATATAAAATGTCAGCTGGGAAAGGTGAAGAAAAATAAAGTAGGACAATAAAATAAAAATGATAAGAGATACTCCCTCTCTGGAATCTAATTGAAGTCAGGGAGCAGTTCACACAGGTGTGGAGGAATAGCTTTCCAGGTGGACAGGCCAGCAAGTGGCTCTTGAATGAGGATGTACCTGGTGTATTTCAGGAATAGCAAGAAGTCCAAGCTGACTGGAGCAAGAGATCTAGGGCCTTGCTGGACATGGTGAAGACTTTGCTTTTATTTAGTTACAGGTCTTACATTTATTTGAAAAGAAAGTAAAATTCAAACCATTGGAAATTAGTAGGAAAAGATGCAGGGTTTTAGTAAGGTAGTGACTCCTCCACCAAAAGGGAAGGATTTCCTCATTATGTTTCTTATTTGATACTGTAGTTTTACTTGGGACTATAGGTGTGTGATAAAATCAATACATGGATCTTTTTTTATATAAATATTTTAGTTAATGATATTTTGCTGTTGTTATGGGTAATTCACAGTTTGCTTTGAATAATTTTGTATCATGCTGTTTGTTTCTGTCTTCCTGTTTTAAAATATGTCATATTCTTAATCTAATAAGTAATTCCTTAGAAGAAATTTCTGATTTGATTAGAATCAAATTAACTCCTTTAGGTTATTTTAGTACATTTTAAAATCATGCTTCAGCACACTAAAAGAAACCCTAATTCAGAAAATCTAATTATGTATACTAATTGCTATTATATGATTATATTTTGAAAGGAAATAACTACTGGATCAGTGAATTGTTATGAGAAACTATCAGTCTGTGTCTTGGAAAAAATTGATACTCAAAAAATCCTTTGTATTTTATTCTCTTAGTTTATAATTTAATTATAATTATTTATAAGATATCACAATAAGGATTTAAGTTCATTCTAAGACTGTGAAAAGACCCCTGTTTTATATACATATCTCAAATATTTAATTTCCTTAATAACCATATGAAGTCAATTATAATATCTCCCCATTTTACAGATGCTAAAACTGAAGACAGAAGAATTAAATAACCTATTTAGATTCCTGAAACCAATAACTAAAAAATTATTATTGAAATCTACTGGGATTTTTTTAAAAATTTCTACCAGTTTACCAAAGTTAAAATTATAGGTTTATACTCTATAGATATAAAACTCCATTTCAAAAAAAGTCACTGCATCCTGTGGCTAAATTACAACCTAAGTCAAGCATTTCTAATAAATAACTGCTCTTGAGTCATTGGGGCTGGGCAAGATAGGAAGGGGGACTCTATAAAACTTTTCCACCACTGGAAAAATTACTCTACTGTCAGTCTGAGTACTGTTCCTAAAATAATAACTTTTTATTGATACACTTTTCCAAATGTCATAAAAATTATGTCAATATAAGTTATGGATAATTTTCTTGCTCCAAGATGCTCAGACTTTTGTTTTTTTTATATACATTCAGTTTCATTGCTTAACCAGTTTTGCTCAGATATGTGTTACTAGAATATATTGATTTGCCACATGGAAAAATTGCAATTATTTATTCTTATAGTTCTGCATTGTAATGAAATAGATATATTTCTTGTGGATTTTATTTCAGTGCTAGTGATGCCATAAAAGGAGAAGGATTGCAAGAAGGTGTAGACTGGCTTCAAGGTACATCACAAAATACTGTCCATCTTCAGCCTGTATTTCCTTTCCATTGACATTTTTCTTTCCTTTTATAACATTTTATTTTTATTATATCACTGCCTTTTTCTCCTCTTGTTTCCATTTATTTCTGCTGTCAGAAAATACACTACAGTAAGTATCCAATACCTTGGTCCATTTACTTCTATTACATTTTTCTAAAGGATTTATTTAAAGTGTTTGCTTTTTACAGCCAATATAGTGACAACTGTAGAAATATTTTTAATTTATAGCAATAAATTTCTAAGAGATCTGATAATGGAAGCACATTTGAAGTTTGGGACAAATGTTAGCCTTACTGTCAATAATTAAAATAAGTTTGCATGGCATATATTTAAAGAATGCCCTACTCCATATATATCTTAATCCTATATGATAAAACCCTAATATGCAAATTGACTGGACAATTGAACAACCAGTCGCTATCATGCACACTGATCACCATGGGGCAGACGCTCAATGCAGCACATTTGAAGTTTGGGACAAATGTTAGCCTTACTGTCAATAATTAAAATAAGTTTGCATGGCATATATTTAAAGAATGCCCTACTCCATATATATCTTAATCCTATATGATAAAACCCTAATATGCAAATTGACTGGACAATTGAACAACCAGTCGCTATCATGCACACTGATCACCATGGGGCAGACGCTCAATGCAGGAGCTTCCCCCATATTTACACAACTTTTAACACTCATACTGAGAATTGTAAATACTGGTAATCTATTGATTTGTATATAGCAACTGTATTTGTTATTCATCAAAAATAGCTATCATGTGTTGGTACAAGCTTACTATATCAGGAATAAATTAAGATATATTATTTTAAGGCAGGGGAGGAGGGGTTAGAGATCAACCAAAGGACTTGTATGCATGCATATTAGCATAACCAATGGACACAGACACGGGCGGTGGGGGCTTGCACTCAGGGGGTGGGAGTGGCAGAGGGGAGGGACGCTCAATCTGGGAAAAAGGAGACATATGTAATACTTTAAACAAGATGCAGGAGCTGCCCCTGGTGGTCAGTGCACTTCCACAGGTAGACCACTGCTCAGCCAGAAGCTGGACTCATGGCTGGCAAGCACGGCGGCAGTAGCGGGAGCCTCTCCTACCTCTGAGGCAGAGCTAAGGAACAGCGAGCCTAGTGGTAAGGAGCAGCGAGCAGGCAGGGCAGTAAGGAGTGAGGGATTCCGGACTGCGAGAGGGCACAGGCCGGGCTGAGGGACACACACACCCATCCCGAGTGCACCAATTTCGTACACTGGGCCTCTAGTTAATAAATAATAATTAGAAGGTACGAAGGGGTAAGATGATACTATAAAAACAGGCAGGATCGGGAGCACCGAGGCCTGCATAGATGTTAAGCGTCTGGACATTGTAGGCGATGGGGAGCCATTGACGGGCTCTTAGAAGTAGGATGTGGCATGGTCTGATATTTTGGAAGCTCACTCTTCTGCTGCAGAGAGGATGAATTGGAGGGTTCGAAACGGGAGGTGGGGCCACCTGGAAAACAGTGCCTCGGTCAGGTGCAGTCCAGGTGCCAGCTGATGAGGCCTGAGCTGGATAACTCAGGGGGTGGGAGTGGCAGAGGGGAGGGACGCTCAATCTTGGAAAAAGGAGACATATGTAATACTTTAAACAATAAAAAAATAAATAAAAAGATACAGTATTTTTCCTAAGTTTACATTGTCTACTAGTTACAGGAATCGCTGGAAGCACAGTGGCCCACAAAGAGCAGTAAAAATGAATGAAACCGAGTTCTTTAGGTTTCAGGACACTGAGAGTCAGGCCAAGAAATTTTTGCTTATGAGCAGAACAACTAAGGGTCATTCCTATTAGGCATCTCCCTGCTCTTAATAAGGATGCACAACAATATATTATAAATTCAGGTTTTAGTCTTGAGCTATCAACTCTTTCTACCCTAACCTTTTTTTTAATTCTCACTTGAGGATATGTTTTTATTTTAATATATATTTTTATTGACTTCAGAGAGGAAGGAGAGAAACAATGTGAGAGAGAAACACTGATTAGTTGCCTCCCATACATACCCCGGCTGGGGATTGAACCCACAACCTAGGTATGTGCCTTGACCAGGAATGGCACCTGCAACCTTTTGGTGCATGGCACAATGCTCCAACCAACTGAGCCACCAGGATAGGGCTAAACTAACATTTTGATTACAGTTATGTGTGATTCTTTCTCCTCTTCTGCATGTCATGTTGGATCTTTGAACCAAATACTAAGTTTATGTCTGGACAAGCTTACTATATCAAGGAATAAATTAAGATATATTTAGCTGCTTACCCATACAATGACATAATATTACTTTGGTTCAAAGTACTAAGTGTATATCTGATAAATATTTTTCATGTGTTAGTAAAATATGGTATTTTAATTAACTGCACAGACTATTATCGGTTTTTCTCATTTGTAGACATCATGACAGTAACTGATAAAGTGCAAAGAACACCCTGGCCAGTGTGGCTCAGTTGGTTGGTGCATCTTCCTGTACATCAAAGAGTTGCCAGTTTGATTCCCAGTCAGGGCACATACTCAAGTTTGGGGTTCAATCCCATATCGGGATGCATGTGGGAGGTAACCAAACGATCTCTCTCTCTCTCTCCCCCTCCCACCCCCCTTCTCCTCTCTCTCTCTTTCCCCCCTCTCTCCTTTCCTCCTTCCCTTCCTCTCTAAAAAAAAAAAAAATCAATAAAAAAGAAATAAACTAAGGAAGTTAAAACAGGAGAAACCAAGATGGCGGCATAGGTAAACACCTGAAATTGCTGCCTTGCACAACCACTTCAAAAATACAACTAAAAGACAAAACAGACATCATCTC